AAACTGTCACATTTCAGGACTGTTATACAGTACTATATATATATAGAGAATCTGAAACATATTTAGCATTACCAGTGTTTGATCTTGTAGTTCACACGTTGTTATTAATGGAAATGATCCAAAATACTTTGCAGTATGATGTAGTTCAGTGGCAGTGTAGGAAATGGGTAGATATAATCTACAGTATTGATGGCCTGCATGAATGGAATAAGTGTCTTCCTAGAAGAAGGGGGAAATGTAGTTAGCTCAGTTTTTATCATACACGTGTTTTAATTTTGTCATGTATAGTGGAGCTTGAAATGGAATACAAGCATTCCAAGTAAATCTATAATTATTAATTCATCATAAATGTCTCCCCTCTCTTGGTAAATATGTAGGTGAAGTGATTCTATGGTAGCATATAGTCCAGTATTTTTTGCACATTTTATTTAATTTTTAATAAAGAGATTTGTATGATTTTATTCTTACTGTCATTGAAGAATGAAGAAATTGCTGAAGTTAATTTTTTTAACAAGTGATCAGTACAGTACGTTGCTATTTATAATACAAACAAAACCTGACTGTACCTATAGAAGGTGTCTGAATCAAGTAAAATGTAGGCACTTAAATATAGCAGTAGTAGTAATTAGATAAACGTTAGCATCGGTGATGCAGTATTGGGTCAGTGTTGGCTGCGGTGATAAATGTTACCTGTTCATTTGCTTGCTGGGCTTGATGACTGCTAATTAGTTTCATGCATCAGTGATAAGTTTAAGGTAGATGGTGACATAATTACAGTATTATATAATTAAGTATATAAGGTCTGCTGTCATTAGTTTTCTCCATGAGCAAAGAGGAAAAAAGAATTAACTATTGTCAAAGTGAACATATATTTTTTTTATATATTCTTAGTATATATTTATATATAATTAATTTATATCTAAGATTCCATTCTCATTTAAATTTTATGTAACTAACAATGCTGCTGCTTATGTGATATGTGATTTTCTTGCATGAAACTAATTTAATTTGACCTAGAATATAGTATTTTAAATTGGTTTGGGGTAGTGGTTTCATTTGACAAGGACTCCTAACATTGTATTATTTGTCTGCATGTTAATGAAAAATAAAATTATATTGAGCTCGGCATTTAATTGTTTTTGTTTAGTAACATTGATGATCCAGCAAGATACTGGTAGGTGACACACTGGTTTTCTTAAACACTTGGGTATATCATTATATAATGAATTATTTTATTCTAATATACAGTATTTTTACATTTTTTATGTCTAGGCTTCCCTCGTGGAAAGACTTGGGTTTTTTTTTTTTTTTTTTACCTTGTTGATTAACACTTTGGTGTCGTGATGACATTCATGCCGTCGTTAAAACAATACACGCAGTTTGGGTAATGACGTTAATGCCGTCATCAATTAATTTGTGCTTATTCTTATTAGTAAGTATAAACATTGTGAGTGAAAGAGTTTAACATTGGGTTGTGTGCTCACCGGCAGCGTTCGGCCTACATTGCGGTGTGATGCTAGTGGCCCCACCGGGTCAGGCAAAGTGTTAGTCTGTTGATGTTACTTTTTCCTTGCTCATTTATTACTTGTGATGTAAAAGTGGATTCTTGGGTAACGTGGATTAGATGGACGAAAAAATTAAAAGTAAAAGATATGTTAAAATACTACTAGAAAAAAGTGAACAAGTAGATGGGGAGACAAATGAGAAAATTATTTGGAAAACTGTAAGCTTTATAAAGTGTGTGTTGGTTGGTATTGTAAAAAAGTAATACAGTATTGTAATTGGAAAATGTTCATTGATCAAAAGGATATTTGTTGCAAGTGGAGAAAATACAGTACAGTACACAGAAAATTTGGATGTAAGGGTGAAGAGTGAGAACGGCCTATTGACGTAGCTCCAGTGCACGGGGAGTTTTGTAAAACCCTGGTTTGTGTCTCGGAGAGACTGCGGGATCCAGTAAGTTCAGTAGAACTTCGGTTTCAACTCTTTTACCATGTCGTAGCTCAGTCGATTAAGGCAGCATCTGGGATGCTCCTGGACACAGGTTCGAATCCTCGTCACGGCCCTTGTGGATTTGTTTACAGTACAGTACTTTAAATATTTGATGGGCAGATGTGATGAGAGGCGCTAATGTGAACATGATTAGATTTGATTGAGAAGATAGGAGTACATCACTGAAGTTGTTTAGGTATAGAAAAGTTGCAGGTGTTGATGTAGGTGCAGAATTTATTAAATTTAATGAAGAAAAAGGAGTAATGGACACTGAGTTTACTACTACTATCCCAAGAGGATAAAAAAGGTGTAATTATATCATTACATTAAAGAGACATCATCCTGTAGCAAGAGGGTAAATGCAGTGAAAAGATTTTAGATAAAACCTTTAATAGATTTGAAAGATTGAGGTGAATATTTGTTAGATATAGCATCCATCCATCTTTGTGGTTCACTTATTACCGATCCGGTGTCGGCTACAAACGAGTTCAGTTCACATCTTTTTGGGTCGTTATCACTGGTTCTTAAATCCCCTCCCGATTTCTAAATCTGTAAATTCTGTGCTACTTATCTCACAGTTCAGAACTCCTACAATGATGTCTTGCTCTTTCTGAAATTGTCTGCTTTGTCCCTCTCACACTACATGACAGTCACCTGTTACTATATTCACTAAGAGATTCTCTACCATCTCCCTACGTGTACCTTGGTGGTTCTTCTCATTTAGAAACTGTGCTTGAAGACCACTTTACCTGGGTATTTTTCTCATTTTTATCCCATTGCCTTGACCAGTTCTCTGGAAGCACTAGCTTTTTTAAATAAACATGGACACACATTTTATCATCAATACATGTGATGACATTTTGGAATAGACATGAAACATAAAGTGAAATACAGTTGAACCTCGGTTTTCACATACCCGTTTTCGTATTTTTCGGTACTCGTACTGAATTTCTTAGAAAAATTTGATTTGGTACTCGTTTGCCTCGGTGTTCGGAGTTTGTTTATATGCGTACGGGTCCACGGAGCGTGTGGTGCTTCTGTTTACCAGCGTCTCCTGCCTAGTGATAATCACTTGAATTCTTTGTGAAGAATTTCATTGTTTTTGTGCTTTTTTGGTTTCTGAACATAAAAGTTCTTATTATATATCACATCATAGGTTCCAAGAAAGTCAATGGTAATGTTCAACTGAAGAAAATAGTTGTGAGGATGACGATAGAGGAAAAACAAGAGATCGTTCATAGTGAGACAGTGTGATGTCTCACTACAATGTGGTGTCACAATGTGATGTCTCACTACAGACAAGTGTTAAAATGTTGGGAAAAGCAAGTGTCTATAGACAGTTTCTTAGTAAGGCAAGTAAGCAGTGAGCCACAACCAGGTCCTAGTGGTACTCCTGAAAAACGTAGGAGATAGAGTACTCCAGAGAAGTCATCACTGCCTGATGTTATAATGGAACGGGACTTCCCTTCCAAACACTAACACCTCTCCTCCTCCCCCCTCCCTCACTGTCTTCCATATGCCAACAAGAGTCCTCAATAAAGGTAAGGTACCTAAGAGTATTATTCTGTATAATATGTATTTTTTAGTTAATATATTTGAGGGTGTGGAACGGATTAATTCAATTTACATTATTTCTTGCGGGAAAATTCGTATTTTTGGTTTTCATTCTGTCTCTGGCAACGGATTAACTACGAAAACTGAGGTACCACTGTACAGTATTACAACAGTACAAATTGGCAATCAGAGAGGCATGTTTTGTGTTAATTAAATGTAATGAGGAATTAAAATGTTGAAGATTTGAGTGCAGAAGTAAATAAATACAAGATTGTATAGAAGATACAGGAATGCTTTGGGCATTGGGTAATAGTATACTGATGAGTTTGAGGGGAAAGACCAGCAGAAAATGGGCATTCATCACGTGTGATGAAGTAGAGATTCAGTTTGAATGGTGTACAAGATATGGGAAGGGACAAGGCTGTGTGTAAAAGTAGTTTGTGAGGGAGTGAATATTTGTTTATACTCTATATTTCAATTCATGAGGAGCACTGTACACTATATGAAGTAGTAAGGTGCTGGATTGTGGTTAAACTTGTCTGTGTGTTATATAGTGACTGGCACAGCAGGTGGACAAGTGATATACAGTGTAACTCTCCTGCATAACTGCAACAAAACCTGCTGGCCAACATGTGTATGGGTGAGAGTCTAGCTAAACAAAGATGGGGGGGGGTTAGGGGCTTAATGTGTAACCTTTCCTACTTTTTTGATGATAAACTTTCACATTAATAAGCATTATTTTTCTCCCTTGTGTCAAGTTATTTAGGATGGAATAGTATTGTCTAGAGATGGTGTAAATGTTACTGTGTATGGGTGTTAAAGGTAGTGACACACACTACCTCATTTGTTATGATAAGTGTTTTGCAGTGGGTTTGAATGTAACATTGAGTAATTTTTAAAAGAACCTCTACCAATAAAATAAACATAGTACTTATTATTTACTTCATATAAAAAATAAATGGCATTTAGGAGTTTTATTTTACATGCAAGCAAAGTTTTTTCATGCTGGTCCTTGGAAGGTTATCCATAACTGCATGAGGATGAATTATTACTTCTGCTCTGACCCACAAATATGCAGGGCTGCAAGACTTCTCAGCTGGTGACTTACTTCTTCAGATAAGGCTTTTTCTTACTTGGTAGCATTGACAAGATCTTATTACTACTAACACCATATTACTTCCAGGTAAGACAGACTAAAAATATAGGTGCTAAAGTTAGACTGAACCATATTTTGAAGGCCTTTAACTTCTGCAACTCTTTCCTACTTCATAAGCTTCTTGACCACTTCTGCTCATTTGTCAATGTTTGACTTACTCTGCTGTTTATATATCGTCTTATGTAAGAGGCTTGGTTTAACATTCAAAGTAATGTATAATCTAGATATTTATTAATAAATGTGTAACCATTATTATTGTTACTATGATTTTGAATATTAATTAAAACAAACTTTTCAGTGGATTATTGAACATGAGCACTCTGTCAAATGCTCTATCTGACTCGAGGAGTTTGGAAAATGCTGCATCACCACTACCTGCTCCTGCATATTGTCAAAAAAGGCACACGCATTGCTCTCGAGGAACAATACCTGTGGCATACTCGAATAACAATTATCGTCAAACAAGACACAGAAACCTAAGTTGGGCCAATAATGCTTCAGAGAGAAGTTTGGAAGAACATGAACCTCTTAATCTCAACCCAAACACAGCACTCATTTGCCCTCGAGTGAGCAGCCTGAGTGGCGCTCGTCCTCGAAGGCGTACTTCTCTGCCTGAAACAAGCTACTTGCACCATTCTACTCCTCTTCCTCGTCGTCGAGAAGCAAGGGGCCGTGCCAACAGTGAGCAAGAGCAAGCCCAGGAACTACAAGAAGCTGCTACTGATCCACCTGAAATACTTAATTATAGCACTGGGTATGTACAATACCGTAATTCAATAGGTTTATATAATAAATGTTAGATTTCTGTGATAGAGAACTGTGGAACTTCTATATTCCTCTGGCCCCTATATTCGTCAGATTCTGTATTCTTCACATTTTGAAGACAAAAACAATACAGTACTTCCATATTCATCATGTTTTGACAAAAAAATAGTACAGTACAGTACTTCCATATTCGTCACTTTTAACAACAAGAACAATACATCCATATTCGTCAGCAGTTTCCCTATTTGTCATCCACCACCCAGTACAGGATTGTCACTCGGTCAGCTAACCCAGCCAGTCAGCTTTGTGCAGTCGTCAAACACGCATCTCTTACTAATTTCTCTTGGAAATTGTTTTTCTTTTTGCAACTCTTTGCGGTAATCTTTGTATAAAAAAAAAGGTAAAATGCCCCAACAAAGGAGGGGCCCCCCCCCCCCCAAGAAGAAGAAAAAGGACCCCAACAAGGCATTGCGAAGAAAAACAACCAAAAAGATAAGCTTTGAGATCCACAATCGAGTTGAAAGAACAGCTCGTTGCCAAGTTTGAAAGTGGATAAAGGGTTTCCATATTTGTCAGTGTTCATATTCGTCAGTTTCCATATTCATCAAGAATGGGTTAGTGATGAATATAGAGGTTCCAAAATATAGAAGCATACTATCTAAGTAATTTATTGGCTGACATAAGACTGTGTGATAAGTACTGTTCATAGTATGTATTCAGCATGTCACTTCATACCATTTTATATTATTGGAAGGGAGTGGTACTGAGGGAAAACATGGCATACACTTTGACACGCCACCTTCACCCCCCCCCCCCCCCCCCTCCTCCTCCTCCTTGTTGTCTTCTCTGCCCCCCACCCCCTCCTTGCTGCTTCTGCTCTTTGGCTCCACCTATCATCTTTAATAATCGGGTGTACAGGTTCATGGACATATTGAGCTCTGCATATCTTCATATGAAACTTTCTGCTTTGTGAACTTCATTTGTTGACTGATTCTGCAAAAGTTTTATTTTATGGCTTATTTGGGTACTCAGTTTCCATGCCTTGTTTATCACCCATGCTAAATTGTCTATTCTTGTCTGCCCTATCAAATCACCTGAAATTTTTGTATATGGTAATCATATCTTTCAGTGATACGAGATTTAATTGTTGCAACTCTTTCTCATAACTTATATCAATTCTGGGAATAGTCTGGTGGCATACCTATGAATACTCAAAATTCATCTTGCATTTGATTAGATAAGAATGCAATGCTGAAGTAGCATACTGGTATTCAGGGAATCGATCTGACATGATATACCAGGTATTGAATTATTTCTTACAAGAAATGACTTTTATAAATCTGTTATTTGCTAACCTAGAATATACTGGTATCTATTTAATGTGGGCTTCTGGAGAATAGTTTGGCGTGATGTCAACCCTCAGGTTTTTCTTTCTCCATGATTCTTGATGAATTTTATCTCCCAATTGGTACTTTGCTTGGCCTTTTATTTAACACCTATTGTGCAAAAATTGCCTGTACTGTACTAATAATAACCACAAATCATTCACAACATGTGCAGATGATGAGTCACAATAACATGGCTGAAGACATGTCCAAACCTCACACACCAGAAGACGAGATGATGACTTTTGTTTCGTCCTGGACCATTATCGAGTCGATTGTGATAATGGTCCAGGGTTCTATGTCCTTTCCCAAGGTTAGGTGCCAAGTTTGATGATTTAGCTCCGCCAACATTACTTGTGCTCGTGCAACATGTTTGGTCCCTCCAGCCATCCCACCTTCCAAACCTTAGTTTCAGAACCATTACCATGTTTTTTATCCTGACACCTCCACTATCATGATCTGATTCAGTGTGTGTGGACTGCCCCATGCTGTCCAGTCAAGGCAGGAGTGCTTGGCTACCAATGACCCAATTATTTAAAGACTGAAGACAAGATTAATGTTAAAGATGTCTGTGGCAATCACATGTAATACTAAGCAAGGGTTTAGTAGGATTAAATAGCCTCTGAATATAAATGTACTTCCAGCAGTTAGAGCTGGAGTGACCTTTTCTCCTTTTCCTCCTTAGCCCCTTTACTAATCTGGCAGGGATGTTTGTACACATCCCTGCAGTGTTGGTGCCTAGAATGTTGTCTTTCCTCACTGTATAAAAGTTTGGGCTGTGACACAGTGGATACCTTTGGTGGGGTGCAACTAAGTAATTCTGCTCAACATGTCTGATAATAGTTTGAAGTCTTGATTAAAAAAATATATGTATACATGTGTATTGGCTGACATAAGACTGTGTGATAAGTACTGTTCATAGTATGTATTCAGCATGTCACTTCATACCATTTTATATTATTGGAAGGGAGTGGTACTGGGGGAAAACATGGCATACACTTTGACACGCCACCTTCACCCCCCCCCCCCCCCCCTCCTCCTCCTCCTCCTTGTTGTCTTCTCTGCCCCCCACCCCCTCCTTGCTGCTTCTGCTCTTTGGCTCCACCTATCATCTTTAATAATCGGGTGTACAGGTTCATGGGCATATTGAGCTCTGCATATCTTCATATGAAACTTTCTGCTTTGTGAACTTTATTTGTTGACTGATTCTGCAAAAGTTTTATTTTATGGCTTATTTGGGTACTCAGTTTCCATGCCTTGTTTATCACCCATGCTAAATTGTCTATTCTTGTCTGCCCTATCAAATCACCTGAAATTTTTGTATATGGTAATCATATCTTTCAGTGATACGAGATTTAATTGTTGCAACTCTTTCTCATAACTTATATCAATTCTGGGAATAGTCTGGTGGCATACCTATGAATACTCAAAATTCATCTTGCATTTGATTAGATGAGAACTCAATGCTGAAGTAGCATACTGGTATTCAGGGAATCGATCTGACATGATATACCAGGTATTGAATTATTTCTTACAAGAAATGACTTTTATAAATCTGTTATTTGCTAACCTAGAATATACTGGTATCTATTTAATGTGGGCTTCTGGAGAATAGTTTGGCGTGATGTCAACCCTCAGGTTTTTCTTTCTCCATGATTCTTGATGAATTTTATCTCCCAATTGGTACTTTGCTTGGCCTTTTATTTAACACCTATTGTGCAAAAATTGCCTGTACTGTACTAATAATAACCACAAATCATTCACAACATGTGCAGATGATGAGTCACAATAACATGGCTGAAGACATGATGTCCAAACCTCACACACCAGAAGACGAGATGATGACTTTTGTTTCGTCCTGGACCATTATCGAGTCGATTGTGATAATGGTCCAGGGTTCTATGTCCTTTCCCAAGGTTAGGTGCCAAGTTTGATGATTTAGCTCCGCCAACATTACTTGTGCTCGTGCAACATGTTTGGTCCCTCCAGCCATCCCACCTTCCAAACCTTAGTTTCAGAACCATTACCATGTTTTTTATCCTGACACCTCCACTATCATGATCTGATTCAGTGTGTGTGGACTGCCCCATGCTGTCCAGTCAAGGCAGGAGTGCTTGGCTACCAATGACCCAATTATTTAAAGACTGAAGACAAGATTAATGTTAAAGATGTCTGTGGCAATCACATGTAATACTAAGCAAGGGTTTAGTAGGATTAAATAGCCTCTGAATATAAATGTACTTCCAGCAGTTAGAGCTGGAGTGACCTTTTCTCCTTTTCCTCCTTAGCCCCTTTACTAATCTGGCAGGGATGTTTGTACACATCCCTGCAGTGTTGGTGCCTAGAATGTTGTCTTTCCTCACTGTATAAAAGTTTGGGCTGTGACACAGTGGATACCTTTGGTGGGGTGCAACTAAGTAATTCTGCTCAACATGTCTGATAATAGTTTGAAGTCTTGATTAAAAAAATATATGTATACATGTGTTGGCAAAGTAATGTGGATACTGTATATTACATTCTATCTTTTGATGTCATACACAGTGAACATTGTCATTTTAGGGAGCACACCCATTGAGATAGTGGTAACCTTCAGACACTTAACATATTAAAATCACACACAAATTCCCTTCCTAGAGTAATGCACAAGATAGAATATGCTAGTTGACTATGGAAGTGTATTCCTTGATGCTAAATGAAACTTTTGAATATTGTTGCAGACATGATAACATAAAGGAAATATATATTTCAATTTTATAAATATTTCAGAAGTGATGTATTCATTGAAGATCCTCAGGATGGAATTGAAACCCCTTCTGAAGATCCTCATGATGTAGTTGACACTGCTCAATTCAGTTTTGGTGTAAGAGCTGAAGCATTGCCAGAGCACATGAGTAGAGAATCTCCTTTGCGCATGACTGGTGGAAACTCGTCAGCATTGATTGGCGAGGTTCAAAGAGGAGGAGACCATGAAGGTATATTGCACTCACAAAGCACTACAACCATTATACTGGAATACGAAGAGGAGGAGTTGAATGGACCACACATGGCCATTAAGAGACAAAACTCGGCCCCATCATCAAATGAAACCCTTGAGAAAATTGATGGTGTAAGAAAATTTTTACAGGTAAGCATTATTTTGCATTATATGTATATAAAATGGGCCCACAGTGTAATGAGCCTCGCCCCAATTGAATCCCCACATGGGTCAAACTGTGTTCAGTGCAAATTCAGTAGATCATACAAATGTTTGTTTTTTGAAGGTTGTTCACCTAAAGTTGTTGGGACGGGGTTGTGTTAACAGCCGACCTAATCTAAATGTATACTGCTGTACATCTTGTAATCTTTTAATTGAGCTCAAATACCAAATTCATTGTATGTAATGAAGTACCTCTTTCTGGTGGAGCCCCGTTGGCTTCCTGTACCTATCTCACCGAGATTGCTCCAATATTTCATTCACATGGGAACCAAGGAGACTAGATCAACCTAAAGAGCATCTACCGAAACTGAGGCTGTGGTACACAGGTAGTGGTGAATCTGTCACCAAACATAACAAATGATGCACCCATCAGCAAAATTAACCAAACATCAATAACCAAAGGACCCCTTTGGAAGCCTGCCAACTCATTCTTTGCCAGAAGAGGAGACAGATGCAAATTAAAAATATGGCCAATTGAGCCAAAGGAGCATAACCACCACCACTGGAGGAGAGCATGAAGCTCATCAACCTGACAACAACCGGAGGCAAGACATAGCAAAAACTCTGGAACTAACCACTGGGCACATGCACTTTGGAGCACAAAAAGCAAAGTTCACACAACAAAACCAGACAGAAAATGTGAAGTGAAGCAAAGCAGCTCTTGGACTTCCTGCAAGATGTGACAAAGGAGCACTACTGTGCTGCTCAAGGCTATGCATAAGCAGAGGAACTGATCTGATAGCTGATGCTGAACTGACCTCTGGGCTGCCTGGTGGTAGCATTTTGGTACTAACAGATTCTAGCTAGTTTTTTGTTTTCTTTTGTTTGTTTTGAATTATTTGGAGAATTGTTTGATAGTTTAGTAGCTTTTGAGTCTTGTGACTCCCAGCAGTTTCCTGTAAAGCTTTGCTGACTTTCTGCATGCTTTCCTGGTGAAATGGCAGAATGTCATTTGCTCCCTGCACCTTATGTGAGGGTACAGGTTTTGGCACTGACCTCCAGTTGGCGTGAGGAATTCATGCAACTGATATAACTGGTAGATTGGAGCAGTCTCAATGAGCCACCGAGGCGTCCCCAGAAAGGGGTATAATATAGTACAGTACTGTATATACATTGTAAATGCGGTGCACATGTTTTGCACCGAGGGGTTAAACTTTCCTTGAGTAATTTTAGATATACAGTACTGTACTTTACTGTACTGTATTTCTAAGTTTTTTTGTTTTTCTTTTTAATATTTTTTTCTGATTTTAGTGCTTCAGGCACCTTAAAGTATTGTGATGACCAAATCAAATTAATATTTAAGGACACAGTTTTACAAAAGTTTCAAGAATGCTCGGGGCCTGACAGCTGAGTGGACAGTGCTTCAGATTTCTAGTTCTGAGGTTCAATCCCTGGTGGAGGCAGAAACAATTGGACAGAGTTTTTCACCCTGATGCACCTGTTCACCTAACAGTAAATAGGTACCTGGGAGTTAAACAGCTGCTACGGGCTGCTTCCTGGGAATGTGTAACTAAAAGGAGGCCTAGTTCGAGGACCAGACCGCAGGGGTGCTAAGCCCCAAAATCATCTCAAGATAACCTCAAGATAAGATGTTATACAGTACTGAGCATTAGTCTCCACTGAGCCAAATACACCCTCTACCAAATATTTACTCATAGGTGTATACAGCACTTTTAAATGTAGTTTGTGTACTGCATTTTGTACATGGGTATCTTGTCAAATCTAGGCCACGAAAACAAAAACCGACTCGACCGAATCTTTCCAGATACAGTATTTTTCACTAAAGCTGAAGTTCCACCAAAAGTCAATGAATTTATTCAATCTTGTTTATCAAAGAAATGGGTTCCATTCAGGCGAGCTTCCCCTGTACAATTTTTCTTTCTTCCTTTCCTCAAAAACGTCGTGTTCTGTAACCATATTAAAGTGAAATGTAGGTCTTGATTTGTACCAAGGGTGTTGAATCCCTCTACACACAAACGTGTGAACTGTTTTCATGTATGTCTTGGGAAACGTCCAGAAAGGGTTAGTAATGATCAGGGGATCCTAGCAACATGCAACATTTATTTCTAGAAATTTATTAAAAATGTCTTTGCCTTCCAGGTTCATGACTCTGAAGAAATGTTTAAAGAACCCCTCAGGAGAATTGAGAGCTTTGTTAAGAAGAGGGATGAAAGTAAGCGGATAAAACTGGACAGGGATGACTCGGACAATCTTGAACAATGATGGTAATATTTTGAAGCAAAAAACATTGTAGGAAATCATAAATGTAGGTGAACCTTGTACATTTTTTTTTTTTTTATATATAACAAAGTGCCTTAACATTTTAAAGCAAAGTGCCTTAATGTTTCATAACAAAGTGCCTTAATGTTTTAATTTGCCAAATTTTTTAAGTTACTAAATTACCCTTTTTTTTTTTTTTTTTTTAAGTTTATCAAATATTTCAGACCTGTGGTAAAGCAGTGGAAATATCCCCCTAATTTTTGGTGTCAACCACAAAATATTAAGATATAAGCCAATTATATAATTATTATTATGTAACAAGCTCTTTATTAGTTGACTTTATCATAAATTTATATAAAAAGTGATCTAAATATCCTATTGGCTTTTTAATGTCTCATTGCATGCTAGGAAGTGAGAAGTCTTTCTTAGTCCACAGCTTTCACACTTATTGTGTCAGTTAAGTTATATTTGTGTGGTTCGTGAGGTAAATACGTAGGTACTGTGCTTGGACGCTAAGCCAGAATCGGCTTAAGAGTGTCTGCTTCTAACCCTGCTGATATTTTCCCCACAACTACTCTAAAATGTCAGGGTAATCCCAGGTCTAATGAGTTATACTTTTCATGTTTTATTTTGTATTGTAACATTAGGACCTTATAACAAGAAATCTTTGTGTATAACACAGAAATGTTTCTTATTTAATCTACTTTTAGAACACTTTTAATCCTTGACATAAAACCCAGACAGTGCATGTGATTACAATGCTGTGCATGTAATACATTTGTTTTAGTGTTTATGATGATTGCTTGGGAAGTAACTTTAGGTTGTAGTTTATATCTCATTATTGAATATAGATGCCATCTTGAAGATTAATACATGTATATACAGTACTTCTGGATGTAGTAATTGTGAATACCAGAGAATAACAAGCAATCTAAAAAACATTTTACTTGAAAGTGATAATAATTGTAGAGTTCATTTAAATTTGCATTTAACTGTTGAGATATATTGCAGTTGTATAAAGGTTGTTATTACTGAGTTCTTCAATAAGTCTCAGGTTTCTTGTTTAAAACACTGCCATTGTTAACAAATGAGATGAATGAATGCAATAACTATGAACATTGAAACCTCATAAAGTTGCTCGCCTGTATAAATTGGTCATAATTTTAAACCCCTCCAAAAGAAATATTTTCTTATGTTTAACCTCAAATAACAAGCACCCTTGTTATACTGTAAACGAAAAGTTTGGACCAGCTTATGACTAGTAGTGGAGTTTCTATATAATTATAATAATTAATATGTATGCAAGTTAGCATTACCATCATATTTTTAAGCCGTGTGATTCATTGCATAGTGTAAAGTTATTACCTGCTACACAAGGGTAATTATAAAATGCAATAGCCAGTTTTTACTTAAAATTGCAAAAATGTTATTATGTACTATTTAAATCTACATTGAAGATTGCAGTACAGAATGTAGCCATTTATTTGGTTCATTAGCCAGAAAGATAATATGGGCATTAATTCCACACTTTTTTTTTATTATGTGGTATGAGTATACTTGGTAATATATTCATATACATGTAATATACCAAAACCTTCATTCAAGGTTTTCTTGGTAATGCTTCTATGGCCAGATGCAAGTAGACACTAGTTTGGTTTTATATTTATCATGTGTACTTGTGCTCTTTGCAGGTAAAAAAAATTTTATTTATTCATGTTGAGATTTTTGTTAATTAATAATTATTTTATATTTAATACAAGAATTTGTATACTTAGACTTATTAAGCATCGCATTGCTTTATTAAAAATTACACCTACAATTAAAATTGAAGTAAGTTTATTGAGGTATAAATACACACAAAGGGATGAGGTAGCTCAAGCTATTCTCACCCCATTCAGTACGTGTTTATATATAATATATATATATATATATATATATATATATATATATATATATATATATATATATATATATATATATATATATATATATATATATATATATATATATATATATATATATATATATATATATATATAAAATATACACACACACACACACACACACATATTCTGTCTGTCTGTATATGTGAACACATTACAAGCAAGCAACATATTATAGAACATTCTGAGTGATAAATGTATACATTTCTTTACACCTACAGATTATACACAAAACATTACAATCTTCTTTCATGACTTATTGTTGTATAATCAGTCTGCAAGACAAATGAAAGTTTGTGTTGCTTCCGTATGTTTGTTACAGGTGGTGAAGAGAATGAATTTAGGGATATACCAATAACGTGACATAGGAAAAACATTGACAAACTAAAAGACTCAAAAACCCCAGGATCTCTAGGGTTTTTAGGTTTTAAAATCCACCTGGAAAAGATCAAGTCAAATGGGGGGGGGGGGTCTTCGACAAGCCACTGGCTTCCTGTCCTCATCGAGACCACTAGTGTTAGCGTCCTTCAGGTAAAAGTTTCATAATTTAAAGTGGAGCTAATTTGGCCAAATGGACATAATTATGATGGCCATTTGTCAGTTTGCATGCAGTCGAATTTCTTTTCACTAACTAATTTTCAGTGCAATTTGCACTAAAGTTTATAGAACAGTGAATATATTTGAACAGAGCATAAATAGTGAAAATCATTGGAACCGGTTTAATTATTATTTGTGTATCTTTGTCCTAATACATGGGAGGATTGTGAGTGTATCCACTTAGTGGTTTTCTGTTAAAGAAATTGAATAATTGAGAGATATATGTGGAGAGTGTGCAGGAGTCTCTTAGTGTATTGTATGAGATATCATAGCATCCTTACAAACTGAAACTTAACTTTGTGGTGAAATTATGTATATACAACATTTACATACTTTGACAAATAAAGAACGTCTTGTATATGAAGGAATGCAAATCGTTATCAGAACAAACCATAGCCGATTGGATTCATACAAGGGTCACGATGTGGGACCAATGTTTTCTGAGAAACACACACAAATGGTGCAATAAATTCTCAAGCATGCCAACAAATCTTGATAAACAAACATGTGTGATATATGGAACTAATGTGCAATATTGTTTGGCTGCCTATTACAGCACTGTAAGGACTTCTTTTCATTGAGATGTATTTGTGATTATTACTTCATATACAGTATTAACCATACAGAAAATGTGGTGTTTTTTTCCCATACAAAGAATAGAGTTTTAATAGTTTACATGCATGTCCATCTTTCTCCTTGCGCACATGTTATTTGCCATCTTCTCATTGTCATAGTAGAAATAATTGGTAATTGCTTCACTCTTTTTTTTTGTCAATAAAATAGGCAATGGTGTGTTCAGGCCAGGCTCTCCATGTGTGGCAGGGTGTTCAGGCCAGGATCTCCATGAGTGACAGGGTGTTCAGACCAGGCTCTCCATGTGTGACAGGGTGTTCAGGCCAGGCTCTCCATGTGTGACAGGGTGTTCAGACCAGGCTCTCCATGTGTGGCAGGGTGTTCAGGCCAGGATCTCCATGAGTGACAGGGTGTTCAGACCAGGCTCTCCATGTGTGACAGGGTGTTCAGACCAGGCTCTCCATGTGTGACAGGGTGTTCAGACCAGGCTCTCCATGTGTGACAGGGTGTTCAGACCAGGCTCTCCATGTGTGGCAGGGTGTTCAGGCCAGGATCTCCATGAGTGACAGGGTGTTCAGGCCAGGATCTCCATGAGTGACAGGGTGTTCAGGCCAGGCTCTCCAAGTGTATGACAGGGTGTTCAGGCCAGGCTCAACATGTGTGACAGGGTGTTCAGGCCAGGCTCAACATGCATGACAGGGTGTTCAGGCCAGGCTCTGCATGAGTAACAGGGTGTTCAGGCCAGGCTCTGCATGAGTAACAGGGTGTTCAGGCCAGGCTCTGCATGAGTAACAGGGTGTTCAGGCCAGGCTCTGCATGAGTAACAGGGTGTTCAGGCCAGGCTCTGCATGAGTAACAGGGTGTTCAGGCCAGGCTCTGCATGTGTGACAGGGTGTTCAGGCCAGGCTCAACATGTGTGACAGGGTGTTCAGGCCAGGCTCAACATGTGTGACAGGGTGTTCAGGCCAGGCTCAACATGTGTGACAGGGTGTTCAGGCCAGGCTCTGCATGAGTGACAGGGTGTTCAGGCCAGGCTCAACATGCATGACAGGGTGTTCAGGCTAGGCTTTGCATGAGTGACAGGGTGTTCATGCCAGGCTCAACATGCATGATAGGGTGTTCAGGCCAGGCTCAACATGCATGATAGGGTGTTCAGGCCAGGCTCAACATGCATGACAGGGTGTTCAGGCCAGGCTCTGCATGAGTGACAGGGTGTTCAGGCCAGGCTCAACATGTGTGACAGGGTGTTCAGGCCAGGCTCAACATGCATGATAGGGTGTTCAGGCCAGGCTCAACATGCATGACAGGGTGTTCAGGCCAGGCTCTGCATGAGTGACATGGTGTTCAGGCCAGGCTCAACATGTGTGACAGGGTGTTCAGGCCAGGCTCTGCATGAGTGTACATTATACATATAATTGGTCCAATTTTTAGTTGATAATTGTATACCATATCAATAACCTGGTAGATGCTGCAGAGTCATACCAGTAATAAAAGCAGAAGCTTTGAGGAGTCCTGATATTGTGTTGGCATTGTATGTGAAAGCCATTTATTCTTAAATTAAGGTATTACACTATATTGAGAAAATTATGTTCAGTTGATGGATTATTGAATAAAGTAACATTATTGGAAAATGTCATGCCACAAAGGTTTTTAAGTATAGCAATATAAAAGTATAGCATGTTCTCACTTTACCTGTTCCATGACATTTTCAAAACATATATTTTAGAAACCATTGGGTTTGATCTGACAAGGTGCTGTATGTGTGTTACATTTACTGTTGCGATGGTTTTCTTATTTTTGTGGTCATGGGATATGTCATCCTATGACAGGTAACAGTAAAATGTTCATAAAGATTATCATGTATACGAAAGAATTCTTCTAAGTTTGCCTTTGTATTCATCATTGGAAGTCTTCTCTTTGATGTATTATACTCATTATTATTAGATCCTTTGTAAGCTAAGTTGTACAGTATTAATTATCATCTTTTGTTGAATTGCTGCTGTTACTGATCAGTTTGCAGAAGTCTTTAAATTTTAAATACATCAGGTTTTTCATTATGGCTGTGATATTAATTCTTCTAAAATGTATAATATAAACAACTTTGGATAATCATTTTCAATTTGACTTAAACACAGATGACTATTAGTGTATGATGTACAGCAAAATCTTTGAAGTGCAAATGTTTTTACGTTTGACATATGGTGCTTGTAATATTTAGCTTACACTCTAATTTTTTGTGACTTGTTCATTTGGTATATGAATGAGTGGTCATATAGTTGTACACTAAAATAGAAAATCAGTAGCTCTTCCCCAGTACATAGAACCTTTGAAGAAATTCTGTACTGTACTAAAAAAGGATAAAATTCTACAAAAACATGTGATAGTGAGCCAAGTAAATATATTTTAGAAATTTTTATGCTCATTTTAATAATTTATAGAATAATAAATATTAAAGTTGTAAAAACAAAAATAAGCTTGTTTTATCACACCTTGATTTTATGGCTTCTTTATGGTTTTCTAGGCATTCCACTCACTTTCATAGGTAAGCTTTTATTGGGTGTGTAAACAATATCCTAACCCTCAGGATAGGGTGACATTCAGTACTTCCATCACTTGTGCCACAGTGTCTAGCAATAAGACATCTTCATACTATTCAAAACCCTCTCAGACTGCTATGAAAAATTTAACTCAAATAATTAAAGGCTTCTAGTTATCCTAAATGGCCACTACCACCAAGAGTCGGTAGAAATAGCACAAGTGCAACCAACTACAACTTAGTGTAGTCCTCAGAACTTATTAAAAAAACAAAAACTGCAGGCAACACAAGTCACGTATCCCCAGCATGTATATTGACATTGTGAATGGAAAGACTAAAACCACATTGTAAAACATTTGAATTGCCAGTTTATTCTACATGTTTATTAGATTCCTAGACAGCTACCAGCTTTACTCCTAATTAGTTAGCAGATGACAAGTCACAATGTGGCTGAAGATATGTTGACCAAACCACACACTAGTTGATGGCGACGACGAT